ATTCTTAAGATATGAGATTTAAAAGCCCAATCCATTTTTTTATTGAATATTAAATAGGCATGCCACCCATAAAGTAAATCCCATCCCTCTAGATAAAGTATCTCAGAATTTGTCAAATTTACCCAATCACTGATTAGTGTTAAAACCACCGCATCATAATATAATTTCAAATTTGGTACCTTAAGTCCACCCCTCTCACGGAAGTCTTGCATAATTTTAAACTTAACCCTTGGCTTTTTCCCTGCCCAGATAAATTTATTAAGACCCTTCTGCCACTCATTTAAATTAATCTCATTTTTCAAAATTGGTAACATTTGAAACAGAAAAAGAAACTTGGGTAAAATATTCATTTTTATCACTGCAATTCTTCCCATGAGGGATAATTGCAACTTTTCCCAGTTCTTTAAGTCCTTCTGTACCCTGACCCACAACCTTTCATAATTATTTTTAAATAATTTTACATTAGAAACAGACAACATCACCCCCAAATATTTTACCTTATTAACAATCTCAAAACCCGTCAGGTTAGTCAAAATCTGCTTCTCCTGACTAGACATATTTTTAGGTAAAATTTTGGTCTTATTTACATTAATCTTAAAACCCGAGACCAAGCCATAATGATGAATCAACTGTAATAAGTTTACTACAGAATAATCAGGTTGCGACAAAGTAACAACCAAGTCATCCGCAAAAGCTCTTAACTTATATTCTTTTTTATTAACATATATTCCTTTAATTTCCTGAGACTCTCGAATTTTGATCAATAATATTTCCAATGTTAAAACAAACAACAATGGCGATAAAGGACACCCCTGTCTAGTACCTTTCTCTATTGTGAAAACCTCCGAAAGACCTCCATTAACAATAAGTTGTGCTGTTTGTTTTTGATATATTACCTTAAGGGCTTGTAATATGTTTTCACCAAAATTCATTTCTTCCATTACTCTTAGCATAAAATGCCAATTCAATTGGTCAAATGCTTTTTCAGCATCTAAAAATATGAGCCCTGCAGGAACTTGGTTGTTCTTATCTAAGTATTCTAATAGATTAATATTTGTCTAACATTGTTTTTCATATACCTTCCTGTTATAAACCCTGATTGATCTTTATGCACAAGATGATGCACCACCCTCATAAGCCTATTTACCAAAATTTTTACAAATATCTTATAATCCACGTTTAAAAGAGATATAGGCCTATAATTTTTTGGTAAAGTAAGATCTTGATCCTCCTTTGGAATCAATGATATAAAGGCACTACGCCATGAAGGAGGAATCTCTAAACCCTGTAAGATACCATTAAAAAGATCATTTAATGGTTGTATCATCTCCTCCATTAAAGCTTTATAATAAACAGCTGTTAACCCATCCGTACCCGGTGCTTTCCCTAATTTCAATTGTTGAATTGCTGAGGCAATTTCCTCCTTAGTAATTAAGCCATTAATTTCATATTTCTGATCCTCAGTCAGTTTAGGAAAACTTGCCTCAGCTAAATATTTATTTATATCTAACAATTGTACATTAGTAGATTTATATAAGTTTTGATAATAATCCAAAAAAGATTTTTTAATTAATTCCTTCTGAGAAACTAGTTTACCCTTGTAATTTATTTTCTCTATTATTCTCTGTCTCTGTTTCTTTCTTAATTGATAAGCCAACCATCTCCCCGGCTTATTAGCATTACAAAATGTATTTTGTTTCATAAATAATAAGTTGGTTGCAGCTTGATCTGCTATCAACATATTAAATTGTGACCTTAATAACTTTACAGATTCTTTAGTACTTTCATCAGAAGGATTTAGAATCAAAGCCCTTTCTTTTAGTTTAATTTCATCTTCAAGTTCTCTACGTTTCTGAATCTGATTTCGCTTATAAAAATTATTCATTTTTATCAAAACACCGCGCATAAATGCTTTACCTGCATCCCATACCATTGACATTGAAGTCCCCTTGTACATATTCAAAGCAAAATAGTCCTTTAAACACTCCTTTAATTTTTGAACATTCTTCTCTTGTCTAAACAAATTTTCATTAACTCTCCAGGATCTTCTTTCCTCTTTCTCTTGAATCAGCTCCATCCAAACTGGACTATGATCCGTCAGTGATCTAGGAAAAATCTTAACATTCTTTACTTTATTATACAAGTCCGTGGTAATCAAGAAAAAGTCAATTCTTGAAAAAGATTGGTGTCTATCAGAAAAAAAAGTAAAGTCTCTCTCCTCTTGGTTACGTTCCCGCCAATAATCCCTTAATTCCCAGTCTTCTTTCATATCAAAAAAGGCTTTAGGTAGCCTTGCTTGTTTAAGAAAAGGAGAGGAACCTTTCTTGTCCTTTTGTATATCTAAGACACCATTCCAATCACCCATTAATACCACTGATCTATAATCAAGCAATGTTATTTTTTGATGTAACTGCTTATAAAATTGTTCCTGTTGTTGATTTGGAGCGTAAAGTCCAACTATAAGTATTTTCTTACCATAAATACCAAGTTCAATCATCACATATCTCCCCTGGGGATCTGATTCTACCAGACAAGCTGGTAGGTTTTGTTTAACATATATAACAACTCCCCCTTTCTTCCCAGGAGCAGAAGATATAAAATGAGATCCCAAACGAGCATTAACTAAATATTTCTGATCTTTAAGTAAAATATGAGTTTCCTGTAAGCAAATAACATCATTAGTATGTTGCTTCAAATAATAAAAGATTTTTTTGCGTTTCTGAGGAGAATTCAATCCATTAACATTCCAGGTCAAAAACTTTGCCATCTCCCTTGGCACGCAGCCTGGAGAAGACACCATCAAACTCTGAAAGAGCTGCGTGTGTTGCATAACTCTTGGGTCTTGCTCCTCCCACCGGCGGTGATGCACTTCCAGGAGAACTCTCTTTAGGCTCTTTTTTACGTTGCTCCTTCTCTTTACGCTTATAGGCTGCACGGGTCATCCTCTGCTCTTTAACCTCCGTCTGGCGTTGCTTTACAGCTTCTATCATCCCAGCGGAAACCAAATCTAATGCCTCAGATTGCTGCTCAACTTCCTTGCCACTCAGAGATTTCCGACCAGATAAGGTTGAGCCTGCACCCAGGACCGAAGTATAAAAATCTCTAGCTTTGTCAACTGTGTTCAATCTGTAGCGTGTCCCAGCATGGCTCAAAACAATACCCATCGGAATTTCCCATCTAAATGGCATCGATCTAGCTTTAAGCTCATTGGTTAAAAAAGCAAAGTCTTTCCTGCTTCTTAAAATTTTGGATGGGATTTCCTTTAGAATGATGACATCTTGGGCAGCAATCTGAAATCTTTTATTGTAAAAAGCTTGTATAATCTCATTCCGCAGGGACTTCTTTGTAAAATAAATCACCACATCTCTAGGCAAGTTCTTCTGCTTAGCAATCCAGGAGTTGAGCCTATAAATTTTTTCCACTTCTCTCTGTAATTCTCCTTTATCCATATCCAAGGCCAGCGCCAGATCAGTAAGAACCACCTCCACGAGATCTTGATTCACATCTTCCTTGAGGCCTCTGATCCTCAGGACATACTCCATTTGTCTGTACTGAAACATCAAAATATCTTCTTGTGAGGAGTCCACCTTCCTTTCCACATCTTGAATTTTGTCATCCAAAGAGTCAACTTTGTCTTCCACTTCCTCAAGCCTTGCATCGAGCTTAACCACCACAGTAGCCAAACCTGAAACAGCTGCCAGTATATCTTGTCGTAATTCATTATTGTTTTCTTGCAATTTAGTCTTTATCCCCGTTATCTCTTCTTTGAGATCAGATTTAATTTCTGATTTAATCTGTGAGACAAATTGATTCATTTCCTCTCTCATTTGAACTACAATCTCTCCCATTATGCCTCTAACCTCTTGTGCTGAAAGTCCAGATAGAGGAGGGGAGGGTGGTGGCTGAGCCGGTGGTACATGTTTAGATTGTTGTTGTAGCTGTGCAGTGGAAGTTATAGGAGAAGAAATAACCTTGGGTATTGAGGAAGGCTGCTGCCTCTTTGAAGCCATTTTAAAAAGCACAATTGTCACTTCCCTTTCCCCTCCAGCCAGGAAGGGAGGAGGGAAAAAAAAGAAAAAAATTTTTAAAAAGAGAGAAACTATAGTCCTTGAAAGTCCAGAGTAAATCCAAAGAATAAAAAATAAAAGAGCAAACAATTCAAAAGAAAAAATTCTAAGCCAAAAGCAAAAGTAAAAGCAAAAACCAGTCCTTAAAAAGGGAAAGTAAAACAAAAGAGAAAGGAAAAAAAAACTCCGACACTTTCAAAGCGCCATCTTAAATCCTTTCACTAATATAACAAAAAAAAGGAGGAATAATAGTAGAAATCAAAAAATAAAAAAAATAAACACCTAAATTATAACAAAAAATCCTTTAAACTGCTCCGTCCGTTTAAAAATTACTCACCAGAATGCTATAAACACGGAGATAGAAGCGGCAGTTTCTTTTGCTTCCTAGGAAGCAAAAACAGCTGGGAGGCGGAGATCAGCAGGAGCTCCGAGGGAACACTCCTTTCACCCCCTCTAGAAACAAATCCAGAGGGGGTTCAGGGGTTCTACCTCTATCCCTGCACTCTCTGTCCCTTCCCTTTGCCCGGGAAGGGATTTTCGAGCCGCGGGCCAGCTGATGCACGCTGCGCTCCGCGGCTCTGACACTTCCCCAGCTGGACGGCTAAAAGCTAGCCGCCATCGCCGTCGCCTCACACCGGAAGCTCCCGAATCATCCAGTTTTTGTGTGTGTGTTCACTTACTACATGGAATCTTTGAAGCATTCCATTGTATCTAGGAATATATCAGTTGATCATATTGGGGGGGGGGAGAGAAATAGTAGCTTTACCTGATGAAGTTGTAAATGCTCATATTCTGCCATCTGCTGACAATAGAGGTAGTTTAGATTTAGGGGTTTTTTTTAATCATTTAGATTTTTCACATTAAAGCACCCATGTACTGTAAAACATTAAACAAGATGTTGGTGCCCTATTCTAAAACATACTCTCTTACTAGGAATGTGATCAAGTACATATAGATGATGTATCCTCAGATGACAATGGACAAGACCTAAGGTAAGATATGCCTTAAAAAATGAAGCAAATTTAAATAAGTATGTATTTTTAGGAAGAAATAGTATTCACTTTTGCATATTTTGGGTGTTTGCAGTACCTACAGTTTTGCAACTGATGGCTTCCATGCAGCTGCAAGTAGTGCAAACCTTTGTCTGCCAACAGGTGTAAGAGGAGGAGTTGACTGGATGAGGAAGCTGGCATTCCGTTACAGAAGAGTCAAAGAATTATATAATACTTATAAAAACAATGTAGGAGGTAAGGATTTTTTTCCCAACATGACATTAACATCAGTCTTATATAAATAATAATTATTTATACTTTACACTACTGTTAAAATATAAGAACAAAATAAATATGGGCGGTTCAGAACTTTTGTGAAGAAAAGTGGATGAAGAAAAAGGAGAAACGATTTGCAGTCTTTCATTAACAAGTTGTGTAATACCTGGAATACTGCAGCCAGTTTTGGTCACCACATTACAAAAAAAGATGCTGAGACTTTGGAAAAAGTGCAGAGAAGAGCAACTAGGATGATTAAAGGCCTGGAGACTAAAACATATGAAGAACGGTTGCAGGAACTGGGTATGGCTAGTCTAGAGAAAAGAAGGACTAGGGTTGACATGATAGCAGTATTTCTGTATTTGAAGGGCTGCCACAAAGAAGAGGGGGTCAGCTTATTTTCCAAAGCACCAGAAGGCAAGACAAGAAACAATGGATGGAAATTAATCAAGGAGAGAAGCAACCTGAAATTAAGGAGAAACTTCCTAACCATGAGAATAATTGACCAGTGGAACAGCTTGCCTTCAGGATTGTGGGTGCTTCATCATTGGAGGGTTTTAAGAAGAGACTGGACAGTCACTTGTCTCAAATTGTGTAGGGTCTCCTGCTTGAACAGGTGCTTGGACTAGAAGACCTACAAGGTCCTTTCCAGCTCTATTTTGATTGAAGTTTGGAGCTTAAACTGCGGATTTCTTCAGCTCCCCTTGCATTTGTTAATTTAGATGATAAATAGACAGTCACTTTAGCTTCTCATTCCAAGTTAAAACAATCATTTGTGCTTTTGAAGATAATCTTCCCAGGCAAATTGGTCAACTGTAGTTTTCTCAATGATGTTGTAGCTTTGTATATTCTGGATTTTCATTACAGTTGTACCTCATTTAGTGACTGTACTGTGACTGTTTGCAGTTAAGTCAATGAAGAAAAAGTAATTTTATGACTAATCCTTGAATGTATGACCTTCACAGATCTATAAAGCAAAGGAAAGCTGAAGTAAGATCATAAGCATAAGTGATGGTTTAATTTAGCAACCACTTCATTTTCATCGAGTTGCTAGACCCAGTTGTGGTTGCTAGATGAAGGCTATCTGTATTATTAATGTAGAGTAGTATTCAAAAGCCTTATTCTTCACGTGCACTCCAATGTAATAATATTTTAGATGTCTCTTATATATTATGTATATTTTAATCCAACCAGGGTTCAAGAATAAGCACAAATTCCAACCTGGGGGGTTTGAAAGGCAAAATCCACATTTCCTTAAGGAATTATATTTGGCACATTTTAGAGCAAGGTTGTGTGCAAAGGCATTGTATTGGACAACAGGCACAACTCTTTTTCTGATTTAAAAATAAGGTGTCTTTTTTATGTCTGCTGTTGCCTGGGAATGGGAGAAAAGTGAGCAGAGAATAAGCAATTAAAAGGAAGTATAAAAGGAAGAGTGCAGTAGTGTCAGGAAATATTGAAGAGAGACAGAATACCTGTGTTTAGGCAGAAAAGAGATATTAGAGGAGAAAAAAGGGAAAGAGCACATTTAGAATATGCATAGTTTCAGAAATCTCTACCAGTGGACAATTCCTGTTCAGCAAATCCAAAATACTTTATGTTTTGGGGTGTTTCAGTTTAGCAAAACAAACTCTGATAACATCTTGAAGAGATATTGTTGTACAAATAGGGCAAGGTGGACTACTATTTCCTCAGCTTCTCCAGTACAGCATATCTTACCAACCCATCTTATCTCATCTTGTAGCCCTTTCTTTTTCCTTTTCCTATCTCAGTCACTATCACTGTGACCACCATGGGATATGTCACTTGCCCCTTGTCTTCTGAAGGCCTGCTATTTCCTCCCTTTCCTCCTCTTAGCCACCATTATCATTGACATCCAAGATACTCATCACCCAGATGAAGCTCATCACCCAAATGAGCAGAGATTAACACCAATATTAACATTAGACCAGTGTTTCTCAACCTTGACAATTTTAAGGCATGTGGACTTCAACTCCCAGAATTCCACAGCCAGCAATGCTGGCTGTGGAATTCTGGGAGTTGAAGTCCACATGCCTTAAAATTGTCAAGGTTGAGAAACACTGCATTAGACCAACCATCAAGAAGCAAACAACACCCCAATTGAGAAACTGCCAAACAAGCTAACAATAAACAGCCCAACCAAAGAACTACTAAGACCACTCCTACTCCCACCAATACTGACAGGGCAGTAATACTGACAGGGCAGTATTGGACAGGCTACTAGGATATAAAATGAGAACAAACCGCACTCTCCACTAGCACTGATGATGTTACGTAGTTTGGTAAGGAAACATCTGCAAGAAAACAACCAAGCTTAGAGAGCATCAGGGACCTCTCATTGAAATCCAAGCATAGCATTTCAGCCTACTTGCTCCCAAATTTCCCAGCATCTTCCCTTTCTCATCTCAGCCATTATTAACACCACTGCCAATGTTATATCTGAAGGCTGACCCATCCCCACTTTTCTCATTACCTTCCCACTCCTTTCTTCTGTCAGCATTCAGTACAATAGAACCCAGCCAACTATCCAGCCCACCCTTGATCTTCCCAAGGCCTTTTCTGCGCTCCTTCCCCTCAAGTCAGCCAGATTGTGCACCTGTTCCACACTGCCCTAATCTCAGCAGCAAGGACTGACTTCCCATTCAAGACATCCTCCTATAGTACTACCTTCCTTCAACTCATGTGCCTTCCTGCAGGGGCCATCAGTGGCCTTGGCTTTATCCTAGTGTCCTTCCCCTACTAGTGCATGGAACATCTTGCCTCTGATGTGAGCTTGGCCCCAATCCTCCTGTCCTTTTGTAAGGGCCTAAACATCTGGCTCGGCCACTTGACCTGGGTCCCCAATCGAGGAAAAGGTGGTTGATTAAGTAATAACAGATCCCACTTCCCCCTCCCATTCTGCCGCTGCCTTCCTCACGTGTCCTTAGATTTTAATCTTGTGTTTTAATTTGTTGATCCCAAAGATGCTTTTTCAAAAGACAACTGAACTTTCTTTGTTTTTCTTTGAAGAACTGTCATTTCTCAAGAAGCTTCTTCATTTATTTATTTATTTCTCAAGAAGCTTCTTCATTTATTTATTTATTTATGTTTTAATGTAGATATATTTTTATGACTATAAGCCACCCAAAGTACCTTATGGTAAGATGGGCAGTCAATGAATGAATGAATGACTCAATCAATCAATGAATCAATCAATCACCACCTTTTGGACTGCTTCTGGACCAAAATAACTATTAATGTGTGTTATTAAGTAACTTAAAAGTAATATGCACCAGAGATAAATTTGTTGTGTGTCCAATCACACTTGACCAATAAAGCTAAGCTATTCTATTCTATTCTATTCTATTCTATTTTCTATTATTTTCTATTCTATTCACAAGCAAGTAAACTGAAATATTTTTGTAGAAAAATATGTTATAGGCCTAAATTAACATGGGACTATAACTTCTGGTAAACAGAATGCATTTTAAGAACTTTTTCCTTTATGAATCAGGACTTCTTGGCCCTGCAAAAAGAGATGCATGGCTACAGTTAAGAGCAGAGATTGAAGCTCTCACTGACTCCTGGCTGACCAATGCACTTAAATCTTTATCAATTATTAGTACAAGGTGAGTACAAACTTAATTTTTAAAAAATCATTTGCTATATTGCAGAAGCAAAACAATAAAGGCAAGAGCAGACAACAAGATGCTTGTAGGCACTCAGTTTCCTGCAGATATGTTCTGCAAACCCATTAGGCTTCCTGCATTTTTTAACTTGGCCTTTTTTATTCCTGTTCTAATCAGAATTGAATGGGTGGGGAAATGCTAGCAGACAGTATTCTCTTTATTAACAGGAAGGCCTCCATGGCCCTTAGGCATTCTTGGAAAATAAAAATAGAGGATTACTACAACACCATACTTGATGTGGAAGCATGGCTGCCTCTTGAAAATAGATTAGAGTGAGCAGAGCGGTTAGAGGGAGTGGTGAGTGTTTACAGACTCACTACACTCAACATTGAAGGCATATGGTAATAATATTCCAAAGGCATCTCATGGCCAACAGAATACCCATCTCTATCCCTTATATAATGCAAAGGTAATATTGTAAGTAGAAAATTAGGCATTGAGGTAGTCCCCAACTTACAACCATTTGTCCAGCAACCATTCAAAGTCACAATGGCAGTGAACAAATGGTGGTTACAACTATTTTCCTCAGAGTTCCAGCCATCTCAGCATCCCAGGAAATACGTGTTTGTGATCCAGAAGCTTAGCAAGTGGATCACATTACTGACTGGTTGCAGTGCCTGCTATTTGCAGCCTTCCCTATTGGCTTCCCCAGGATGTCATTTGGGAAATCAGCAGGAAAGGTCATACATCACTGGGATAAGTTTCCACCACCTGCATGCCTTCTCCCAATTCCTCTGCATTTGTGCTTGTGCCTTTCACACACATCCTCATGTACTTTCCACAACTTGCACTACAGTCTCCCAGACCTACAGCTTTGGGGACCTCTCCCAACTGCGTCACTTAGCAATGGAAATTGCTATAGTAAATCAAGGACTACTGTACAGGGAACTGCAAGCCAGACTATTCACCCATCTAGCCATCATGCTCTATAAATTGTATAGCCTATAAAATTATATTGATTTCTTTGTAAGCTCAAAAAATGATAAATGGACAAAAAAGGCTGTTTTTCAATTCATAAAGTAGTACGTATATTCTATGAATTTAGAAACTCCTCTGAAGATGTGTGTTTATGGAATATCACAATCATGAAATTTGCAATGTACAAAATATTGAAATACTTATTATTACTGTAGTAATAATTAAAGTAGTAATTGATCTATAGCTAATTTGTTTTATCATTGTACAGATGTATACTCTGTCTTTCTCTATAGGAGTAACTGTGTAAATGTCTTGGTAACAACAACTCAACTTGTACCAGCCCTAGCAAAAGTGCTTCTGTATAGCTTAGGAGGTGTTTTTCCTATTGAAAATATTTACAGTGCAACTAAAATAGGTACGTATCACAATTCCTTTCCATTTATATAGTTTGCTGGTGGTTTCCAAATGTCTTCTACTAATGGCACTTTAGTTCATTTAAGCAATGTCTTCACTTGTAAGAATTGTACATAAAAACTATACATAAAGAATCAGATAACTAGAGTGAGATTCCTAGTTTTACACACACACACAAACACATACACATACACACACTTTTGGATGTGCCAACCCATCTATTATCATTAGTAAGGCTATTCAAGCATTTGAAAGAGGTACTTTACAAACATGTATTTTTCCTCTAATCATTAAAACAGGCTGGGTTTTTTTTTTTTTGCAAGGCACAACTATTCCTGAAGCAAAGGGACTGCATGCTTGAATGGCTTTCAAAGCAACTGTACAAATAAACAGCTGCTTTGATGATTTGAAGAGAGATGTTTTGTTCATACACCTGCATATTGTGATATACCTTTTTAAAAATGATTTGCATGCTTCATTGCCACAAATCTTTATTCAGAAACAGCTGACCCTCTCCCAGTATGGAAAATTTATTGAACTCAAAAATGTTGAAGTTGTTTATTTGAAAATAAAAAGGGCTGCTCTAAGAAAACAAGTGCAGCTTTTGGGATACCCAGACTGAGGGAGAATAGACAACTTGGCTCTTTATGTCCAGAAGAACAAAGAAAAATTACATGCTTTGTTAGGGTTCTGTCAGGACACCTTGCATGTTATCTTGGAATATTAAATATTAGCTTACCTAAGTTTCCTTTGAGTTGTGGCAGAAAATAAATTTAAAAAGGCACTAATATTATGAAAGGTTTGTGTAGCGTATGATTTTTTTTTGAATATGCATCCCCTTAGCCTTTTTAGAGAACACTGTGAAATTTCTTTTTTGAGAGCACAAATAAATAGTGCATTATTTTTCAGGAAAAGAAAGCTGTTTTGAGCGTGTAGTGTCCAGGTTTGGCACTAACATAACTTATGTTGTGATTGGAGATGGCCGAGATGAAGAGCATGCAGCTAACCAGGTAACTTCTCTCTGAACTCTTATCTCATTTATCTTCCAGGAAAAGAAAGTTGCTTTGAACGAATAATGCAAAGGTTTGGCAGAAAAGTAGTATATGTTGTAATTGGGGATGGTGTAGAAGAAGAACAGGCAGCAAAAAAGGTAACTTGTTTCATGAAATGTTAGTGTGTTCTATAGATATTTATGCAAGCTTATTTTGTTTGCATTTCTGTTAGTATGGCACTTTGTCAAATTATTTCAGTAACATATGCCAAGACCATAAGAATAAGACATAATCAAACCATTTGGATTCAAGCACAGGCTTTTTGGGGATGGGCAAGGTATGGAAATTAAATTTTTATATATATATATATATATATATATATATATATGTAGGTCTTTGGTTGTTCGGGTTTTCTCCTGCGTAAAATTGGAAGTGTCTTGGCGACGTTTCGACGAAGTCCCATTCGTCATCTTCAGGCTGGTGTTTTCAGCTTCGTGCTTCGAGCAGCAATGCATTGCTGCTCGAAGCACGAAGCTGAAAACACCAGCCTGAAGATGACGAATGGGACTTCGTCGAAACGTCGCCAAGACACTTCCAATTTTACGCGGGAGAAAACCCGAACAACCAAAGACCTACATACAAACACCCGCGAAAACCTCAGAAAACATATATATATATATATATATATATATATATATATATATATATATATATATATATATATATATATATATATATATATATATATATATATATATATGGATTTGATTCCCAACTCTAAGCAAATAAAACACCTTATGTGGATTTGCAAGGCCCAGCAAAGTGTGTTTTGTGTCATCTAATGGATACAGCACACTGATCTTCTAACAGATCTGAAAAGGGAATAATATGCCAAAAGCTAGTTATTTCAGAGCATAAGCTATAAATGTATTTTAAGAAATTGATTACAATTTAAATTTTTTTTGTTCTCAAGACAGGCACAGATGTATCTATTCCTCATTTACATTTAGAGAGCTGTGATTTCTATTAAATTGAACATTAAATCTTTGAACACTTTGTGTTCAGCATAAAACAGTTCTATAGAAGATTTCAGCACTGTATACTTGATTATTAAAGTAATTAAAATATGATCATATAAGTATCCAGTAAATATTGTCTTTAAAGAAATCTAGCAGGAAATCTACTGAACTTCAACATATTTCATACTTCAGAATAAATATAAGCAAAGAGGAAAAAGCATATACATTCAGACAGACATATCCAGAGCACAGATGCCAAACCTTTTGGCTTGCCTGGGCCACAATAAATGAAGAAAACTTGTCTTGGACCGCATAGAGATAGTCCTCAACTTATGTTGTTAAGTGAGAAATTTGTTAACTGAGTTTTGCCCCGTTTTATGACTTTTCTTGCCACATTGTTAAATGAATCCGGCTTCCCCATTGACTTTGCTTATCAGAAGGTCACAAAAGGGGATCACATGACCCCAGGATACCGCAACTGTCATAAATGTGAGTCAGTTGTCAAGCCTCCAAATGTAAATTGCATGATTATGGGGATGCTATAACGGTCATAAGTTGAAAAATGGTCGAAAGTCAATTTTTTTAACATTGTAACTTTGAACAGTCACTAAATAACCTGATGTAAGTCGAGGACTACCTGTATAAAATATATAATATAGTTAACGTATATCAATCACATAATAATGTTAAAAGTTTACATTACTAGCTATCCAGGGCTGCGGGTTAGACATTCCTGATCTAGAGCAATCTTAGAGTTGGAGAATATAAAGGAGATTTTTATATATATATATAAATATAATATATATTATTTCCTGGTTTTCTTTTAGCAACTTTAGTTGTAGTGCTGGTTCCAAATGGTTGCCTTATAGATGCAATACAGTGTTGAGATTGTCTGGTAGCCTATTCAGGAAACCGGGTGACTGATTATTTTAGAGCTGGCATGCTTCCCTCTAACTGTACTGTACTTGTTGTGTGCATGAACCTTTGTAGAAATTTGTTTTTTAAAAAAGAAGGCAAATTCTTCAAATAGATCTGCAGTCAGTAAAAATAAAGTTATTAAAATGTGTATCACACATGCTCATACCTTTTTGCAATGTTTTTAATTGCAGAAAAGGGATATACCTCATAAGACTTTGCTTTCCTAAATTCACTGACGACTGATAACTTGGTTAATCATAGTAGAATTATTGATTATTGAATAATATAATCTAAGTGACCATGTTGCTTTCAAGGAAAGTTGCATACATGACAGCAATTTAATTTCATATAAAACCAATACAGATTTTCTTTCTGGTATCTCCCATATAGACAAGAGTTGTATATGGGGGTATATTCTGGGTAATCACCATTCCGAGAGAAATGCGCTACATTGTAAAGGTTAAACCGAAAGTGAGCACTAAAATTAAATGTGTGGTACGTTCATTTGCCTGCTTTTTCTCGAGTATTGTATTTTCTGAAGACATCACAAGGCATGACAATTGTAAATTAAAACTAAGTAAAAGTCATTAATATTTTATACATTATGGATTTTCCCTATATTATACAAAATAATGAAGATTATTACATCCTTGATTGCTACCAAATTTACTTCTTTGAAATGAAACAAGATTATTCCTAATATACATTCTGGTAAATAAAGTTGGAGTAACAGTTTGGTATAGTAGTTAAGGCATATAGCTACCGTGTTTCCTTGAACATAAGACTCAACCAGAAAATAAGCCCTAGCATGATTTTTCAGGATGCTCGTAATATAAGCCCCACCCCAAAAATAAGCCCGGACAGACAGACACATTTAGTACTGTATTTCCTCCCAAATAAGACCTAACCAGAAAATAAGCCTTCATTGCATCTTTTGGAGCAAAAATTAATACAAGGACCAATCTTACTTTCGGGGAAACATGGTAGAAACTGGGAGACTTTGAGTTCCAGTCCTGCCTTAGGCACAAAGCCAGCTTGGGTGACCTTGGTCAGTCATTTTTTCTCAGCCCTAGGAACGAAGCAATGGCAAATCACTTCTGAAAAACTTCGCCAAGCCAAGAAAACTACAAGGACTGGTCAAGGCAATCTCTGAGAAACAGATCCAATTGAACAGAATAATAAAAAAAAGTTGAATTTATTAAGGGGCTTATGCAGCTTTTTTTTGTATATTTTTTTCAGATCTATTTGGACATTTGCTTTGTTTTATTTTCTTGTCTGTGTCTTACTAAGAAAAATCAAGATAACCGTAATATATAAAAAGAAAATATGTGATGTGTATGATATATTGTTCATTCTTCTTGCCTTCTCTCCCTCCCTCTAACTAATGCAGCATAACATGCCTTTCTGGAGAATATCTAGCCACTCTGACCTCCTGGCTCTACACCAAGCGCTGGAATTAGAGTATTTGTAACTGTTCTTTTTTATACATATTTCAAAGTACACTGATTTTTTTTTTTAACTTTGGATATGGTGCCTCCGGCTTTACACATATTATCGTCTTAAAAAGAAAGAGCAATATATGGATTCCATTGCAAAGAATTCAGATCACTGAATGGAGACACGCGTTTTAATGCGACACAAGGATTCTCGACATGGTCTTATATATTCAGCATTTTGATGATTGAAGAACTGGAAAAATGGTTGCTGGTACACACCAAATGAGCCCTAGCCAGAGTGAACAAGGTTTGCAGTAGACAAGGAGAAGGAGAAGAATGAATGAATGCATTTTGTGAATGACAAGGGTGTTATTCAACAACATTCCTCACTATGAGATATATTCTCAGCACGGAGGTTTGAATCAAACTTTAGGCTACCTAACCTGACCCAGAAAATTGGGATGCACTTGGACTATACATTGGCAGTCCTGTCTCAATCTGTAATAGGTGTAAATTATTAATGAAAATGATTTACCGTGACATTAGCAACTGACTTTGGAAGTGGATGCAATTTATTATATTTTGTTTTGTTTTGTTTTGAAGGTGTGTGGAAAGGGGTATATAATAATAATTGTCTCTTTTATAAACTTGGCAGACAGAATGTGCATAATGATGTGTTGTGCCTTAAATGACAAGATCTTGTTTGTGTGTTACAGTGTAACATTGGTTTAAAATTATGTAGATAAAAAGATAAAAATCTTTGTGATAATTTTTGACATGACCAAATTTCAAATTCAATTAATCGGTACTGCATAAAAGCAGTTTAAATGTTTGTTGCAGTAAGAGAAAAAAAATATATAACTGAAAGTTAGTGCTTTTATTTAGATTCTTAATAATTCCACTGATTGTATGCAAATACTTTTTTAAAAAATGTCAAGAGGTTGGAACATTGGGTACTGTGAGCAGATAGTTAACATGACAAATTATTTGACAATTTTTCCTTAATTTTTGTGTTAAAAAAGAATTATACACATGGATAACTTGTGCTGCAATGAGTTTAATTTATGGTACACAGTATGTGTAAAAAAAAAAAAAATCCCAGCAGCTACTCTTACCTATTGACCTGGTATCAAATTATAATGTAGTATATTTAACATTCAGTAAGGTACATATAAATATGGCTGAATGTGATCCAGTGAAACTTTTAAGTAAAAGAAAACAGCTAAATAAAAAAAAGGAATTGCTAGCTATTTGTGCAACAAAAAATACAGTAGACAAATCAAAAGATTACTGGATGAACAATAATATTCTCCTAAAATTGTCAAGTAAAGAAAAATATAATCTATAAATTACCCATTAAGTGGTCCAGTAAAAAAAAATCCTTTCAATTCATGAGTTTCTACCAACACTTAAAGTGATTTTGGAGCTGTAGGTCAGCATGAATCTCAATGGGATGCTCTGTTCCTCTCTGGTTAGTTTTTCCTAGGCATATTGACTATGCTTACATTTATTTGCAGTAGTGGTTTTTCTAACATTGCACTATATTATGGATTCTGGAATAAACCAAAGTTGGTTTGGTTCATACAATATATGAAGTCAAAATCAAGCAATCATATTATCGCTTATTTGAATGTGTAAATTCAGCCCTGCGTATCATTTTGATCTCATGTTTGCATAATAATACTGTGCAAGTCATTTGTTACAAAGGAGGTGGGCAGCATGTGTTTCCCTGTCTGGGGCAACACCCCACCCACTATAGAATCCACCCTCCCCAAGAACTTAAACAAGCTGTGACGTTGATGTGGACAACCAGAGTACTTTTGTTCCTTCTAACGTCTAAGGACTTCTAACTTGAGATGGATGGTTGTAACTCCACTGTGTTTATTTCAATGTCTGTTTTACAGGTAGTCCTCGACTTACAACAGTTCATTTAGTAATCATTCAGAGTTACAACGGCACTGAAAAAGGTGACTTATGACTGCTTTTCACACTTACGACTGTTGCAGCATCCCCATGATCACGTGATCAAAATTCAGATGCTTGGCAAATGACTCATATTTATGACAGTTGCAGTGTCCCAGGGTCATGTGGATCCCCTTTTGCAACCTTCTGACAAGCAAAGTCAATGGGGAAGCCAGATTCACTTAATCACCGTGTTACTAACTTAACAACTGCAGTGATTCACTTAACAACTGTGACAAGAAAGGTCATAAAATGGGGCAAAACTCACCTAACAAAGGTCTCATCAACATACATTTTGGGCTCTGTTGTGGTTGTAAGTTGAGCACTACCTGTATTGCTTTTATTTTTAAAGTCTATTTTGTGATGTTTTCCTCTTAACTGCCTTGTACAGCTTTCTTAGGGCCAGATTCTCTCCTCTCTAGTTGTCACAAGTTGTTCATTTTTATTCAGATATTCTGGGATTTTTCTGGTGAAGTATAATTTGTGGATAAGCCTTATGGGAGGGGGGGGGAAGGAATGAGACTGGATAGCATTTAAGAACAGAGTAGCAGCCTCCTGATGTAATTAATGGCTGTTGCAGTTATGCTTTGCACGCGTGGCTGAGGGCCAGTTGGATACGGGACAAAGAGAATGGGTTTCCCAATTTGTTAGCTGTGATGGCAAATCACTCTTAAAAAACACTACCACAAGAGTTTAGAAAACCTGAAACACTTTGAGCACAGACAGAAAATGAAGGAAGATAAAACTGAGAATCTGCAAGATGAATTGGCACTACAGAAAAATGAAGCCATTTATACGAAAGACAGTGGATTGCTATACAGGTAGTTCTTATTTACCAATCACAGTTAGGTTTGGTGGCAACTCTAAATCTAAGCAACTTGGTGGTGGAGTGAAACATCACATGACTATGCCCAATTTAACGAATGAACTGCGGTCATTAAGCAAGTCCTCACAAACTTGCCATTACCATTAAGCGGGACAACAACCGCGACTTTCAACTATCAGCCAGCTTCCCCACTGATTTGTTAAAAGCCAGCTGTGAAAGCCAGAAATAGTGATCACGTGACCGTTGCAAATGTACACCTGTTGCCAAGTGCCCAAATTGCACTCTAGTGATGGCGGGAATGCTGCAACAGCCGCAAATATAAAGTCATAAATTTCTTTTCTCTGGCTGTCATAATGTTGAGCAGTCCCTGCAAGGAGTTGGTAAGCTAGGTCTACCGTACCATTATTGGCCGAATGAAAATCCTTGCAAAATTCAGAGACTTAATAATAGAAAAACACAGGTGCCGTTTTGTCTTACAGAATAGTTAGATGAAAAAGCACTCTGGAATGAAATGTTCATTTTTTTTTTCAGAGATAAGATTCTTTGATGAAGACTAAGGTACTCAACATTTATATCTCTGGAATGCACAAAATAATATTGTTCAGATATGAATTGGTCTACAATATGAATATAAAATCAGTTGAAGTGAATTTCTTTTCTTTGCTATCCTCTGCATTAATAAAATTCTAGTTTAAAAGAGCTTAGAGATAGTATTTCTCACAATTTCACTTGTGATTATTTTTAATGCAGCAAACATTTTATTTTTTCAAACTTGTTATTTTAAACTTGTTTTATTTGCCCAAAGGACCACTGAAAATTATTGTATCAGCTTATCAATATAGAAATGGGGTTTTTTTGGACTTCTTTGGATATTTAGAAATAAATAGGTTAAAAATGTCCATAAAATGTTCATAAAGTCTGCAAGCCATCCCACCAATTTTACACTTGCCACATATTTTAATTACTTCACAAACCCTTATTCCTGGTCTCAAACTATAATAAAAAATATCTATTAATCATTAAACAATGTGTATTTTTAATCTAGCCATAAAATTATACTTCTTATAAAAAGTGTTCCTCAATAGTTTCAAGATATTCTATAAAAATATGAATGGAAGCTGTTTTATCAAAATGACAGAATGATACTGCAGTATATGTTTGTTTGGCAGTGATGTTTGACAGATTGCAATGTTTTCAATTGACATAATCACTTTTGTTTATTCTGCTTTACATTTGAATTTGCTAAACATTGCTCCATTATTATTGTATCCATTAATGTTTTGACAAAAATTATGAAATCACATGCATAATAACAGGGATCAGAATTACCAAACTTTTAGATGCAGAAATAATACTGTCCTTTTAAGTGATTCCTTAAAAAAATGGTAATGGAGAAAAACAGAACATTGCTGCTGAATATAAAATTTGAGGCAAATTAAATTGACCTGATTTTGGCATTTGAGGAAGGTTAAAATAATTGCAGTACAAGTAAGAGAAGATTACTCTAGATGTTTTTAAAAAAAATTATAAGAATTTGGACTGCCCTTGGTATTTTTATAGCTTTTTCTCTTGCATCTGTGTGCGTATGCAGACATACACAATGTTTGTTAAATAGCTGTGCTCTTAAGATAGTGTATACTGAAGATTATGCTTTGCAATTGCTGTACCAATTTGAACAGAAACGGCACTTAAATATGAAGCACTTTAAATATCGGGCTTGAGATAGAAGAACAGCACAATTTAGTTTAAGAGAAGTACAAAATACTAATGGATAGAGGGTTCAAATCAATAAACTATAGTAGTTTATTGGAAAAATGAAGTATGTAGACAGAGTTCTACATTTTTCCATACAGTCTCTTCCTTTAGGATTTAATGTGCCCTCCTTTCTCCCCTCTTCATTAGCCGTTGGCATACTGCATCAATTGTTCTTTCTTGTAGCAGACCTTCCCATGGCGTTCCATTGTCTGGCTGCAGTTGTATGGAGAGAATTTATTTTTTTCCCTGTACAGATCATTTTTAATAGTTGGAGGGTTTTTTAGTCGTTGTTGTTAGTTGCGAAGTCGTGTCCGACCCATCGCAACCCCATGGACAACGTTCCTCCAGGCCTTCTTGTCCTCTACCATCTTCAGGAGTCCATTAAAGCTCATGCCTACTGCTTCAGTGACTCCATCCAGCCACCTCATTTTCTGTTGTCCCCTTCTTCTATTGCCCTCAATCTTTCCCAGCATTAGGCTCTTCTTCAGTGAGTCCTTCCTTCTCATTAGGTGGCCAAAGTACTTGAGTTTCAACTTCAGGATCTGGCCTTCTAAAGAGCAGTTAGGGTTGATCTCCTCTAGGACTGACTGGTTTGATATAGCCTTGCAGTCCAGGGGACTCGCAGGAGTCTTCTTCCGCTACTTCCCAAATAATGGCAGCAATTGGAGCAGATTTAAATAAGTAAAATACATTTGCAAATTCTCTAATAGGGTAACGTCTTAATTAGGACCAACTTAAATATTATAAACCAAACATGTATTTAAAAAGAGTTGCTAATTCATAGTAAATGTGCTGTTCAAATAGGTTGAGCAACAGAACCTAATCTAAATCTTTCCGTGTATTGAAAAAAGTGGGCTGTGTCCATTTCAATTTTAGATGTGATTTTCATTTTAGATAGGGGGGACTGTTGGAGCCACGTTTAGATGCTTGAATCAATGCGGTATTTAGTTCTTTAGCGTGAAGCATAACTGACATGAGCCAATATTGCATTTGAATGCCCAGCAATAGCAGCCTTATGGAACTTTTAAAGCCAAGGACCTGTGTAATGTAAATCATAATTTTATCTAGGGATAATATTATTTAAGAAATTGTAAATTAATATTGAAAGCTTGTACAAAATGTGTATATCTTTAGTATTTCTCAATAAATACATGTGGAAATATTGTCATTTTCTGCACAATCATAACACTCCTGTATCCTTGATTTTCTTTTTTGAAATGTCTGTTTTGCCATGCATTGTAGAAACAATTGGCCTGATCCAAAACCGAGTGCCTGAAAACAGCTTAAATATAGTCATTCCCTAAATGAAAAACCTTGTTGATCAGCTGTTTAGCCAGAAATGGTATCCGTAGTCCTTTCCTTGTTCTGACTGGAAGAATTAACGCTTTGAAAAGGATCTTATGCATCCCAATCTCAACTGTTAAAACATACATTCAAGATTTAACTTTGTGTGCTTTCTGTCAAAATAAGATCTTGTGTGGAAGAGTATTTTGTACAATCAACTGCTCTACAGAATTTCTCTTCACATTAAAAATTCAAAGTCAGATCTCCTTTCTCCTACACTAAGACATTTGTTTTCTGAGCATTCAGGAATCTATTAGCACATTTTCTATCAGTGTGTTTTATTGAAAAGCATAAGCTGACTTGGGCATTTTGAGGGAGGTTAGTGAA